TCCCTGAGATAAGATCAACTAAAGCAATTTCATTCAAATTCATGATGAAAAACCAGGTGTCGAGCAGACTAATTGGATATCATTATAGTGTGCTTCAATGATTTGCTTATAACTGTTGGTGGAAGATTATCATTTGGGGAATCTGGTCAGCTAGATTATAAGATTACAGGTATAAAGGTTTTATTACCTGAAAAACAAAGACAACACTATTTTATTTCAGACCACACATCTGAACCGATCATAATATTCTCCTTTGTGCATTTTCTTTAAATTGTTTTTTGAAAGGGTTGAAATTTAACAAATGTACATTTACCTTTGCATTACATGTAGTTACAATAATGAAGTTTTGATACCAAAAACTGCAGTGTCAAATCTTGATTTGCTATATTTGAAGTTCCCTGCTGAAACAGTGATCAGTTAGTATTTCTAAATTCTTAATCTGTAAAACATGACGACAAAGAACATCTTGGAGTAAATAACAGGAAAATTATTACAACTTTATTTACAGCTGTCCCTTAATTATGCCCCATGTATACGTAGTTGCGTACCTGCTCCAAGATCTGGCAATGCAATGGATGTCTGATTATGGTCGTTGGCTTCCTCCATAGACTTCAACACTGCTTCCCGTAGCATGTCCTCCTCGTTATTTCGCCCTCCCTGCCATACTGGTCCCACCGCGTGGGCAATGAAGTTACATTTGAGGTTCCCAGGCTTCCCCAAGTACACGTCACCCTCCAACAGCCGGCTGTGTCGTTTGATGTGTTCATCGCAATCCCGCTGTATGCTTTTCCCTCCTGTAACAATACACTGTACTTCAATCTTGAAAATCTACAGATTCTTGATTTTTACAAAAAATAAACTTTTCTGACCCCTTAATTTCCCCCTAGATGTTGCCATGTACCCCTCCCTTTTAATACTTCATTTTCCACCATCCACCTGCATAGGCACCATATGATCAAATTATGGAGGTCTTGCCTTGGCTAAACTCCAACAACCCTTGATAAAAGCAATGGCATGCCCGCCAATACTACATAATTATAATATTTAGGTCAATACAAGGATTTATTAACCCAAAAGTGGTGATATTCCCCAGGACCCTTCTCTCAAAGAATATCCCATAAAACCGAACAGATATTTCAATTGCATGTTTTGTGTTTTTGACTTCTTTATCAATCAGAGTTTTGGTTAATTTGTATTCCTTGATGCTCCTAAATTGAGCCACTTGTCTGTCATTTGCCATATCTGTTTACAATGACAGAGCTTGGCAATCATAATTCTGAAGTTTTTGATTGGTAAAAAATGATTGTGTGATGGAAATCCCCTGATACTACATGTATGTATGGAACAGTTGATATGTCAACCTCCTGAGAGGCAACATGTGTGTGATGTGAACCTAGCTCTCGTGCAGGTGTTCAACTATCATCTCACTGGGAAGTAAAACTGACAGTCATATACAGTGTATGAACAAAATAGAATTTCTTACCCTTATATCCTCACAAGTCTTGGTGATCAATACAGTAAAATAGAATGCCTTACCTTTGTCCACAATAGCCTTTGCGAGCCCTCCAGCATGCTGGAGTTCCTTGTTTGCTGCGTTGACCAGCACATCTACCTTGAGGTTGGTGATGTCCCCCAACATAACCATGAGATGATAGTTAGGCTGGGAACACCTCGCCATTTCTTGTATACCGTCTCGTCTTCTTGGTGCAGGAGTCGGCCCACCTCCAGCCTCTCCTCCACTGACATCATCTTCGCTCTCATCGCTCGGCACGATTACGACACCATGAGATTTTTCCACTTGACTTACTTTCGGTTTACTGTCTTCAGATGTCATCAGTTTGGTGATGCCTGGTTTTTTTAAGATATGTTCTTTTTTCTCGACACTGTCAATGACATTACCTATATCCATCTTTGCTTTACTGAGTCCTACCTCGGTTCCTTTGATTTCCACACCAAGGTTGTCTATATCAATTGAGACTTGGTCTGCTTTGAGCCGATCTGCGATGGCACGAATCTCATTGACGCAATGGGCTTGAAGAAACCTTAGCATTCCTGTGCTGATTGATAATTTGGTGTTGTAAATAGTGTTCATGGTTAAGAAATCAGTCACCCGTTCTCTCACCATCCCAGCATCTCTATCAGTGGAGTAAATCACAATACAAGGTTTGTTCATCTGAACTTTCATTTGTACCATTACACTGCATGAATCTTTGATGGACTGCTCCTCGCTGGCCCAACGGTCTGATGACAGGAGAGAAGAGGATTCCTTCTTCACATCAACAATGGTCTCTAGAACCGAATCTCTCAGAATGTGTGCCGCACGAACTGCAGCATCATCCGTCATAGCATACACTACAAAACGGTTGTCCTGCATTTCCCAAACAGACATGATTTTGTCCTCTTTCATCTTTCCTGCAACATACTGTTTCACAGCCTTGTCTTGGAGGTAAGCATACCTGCCCTTGTTGAAATCACCCACATCACTGGACACCATAGCATTGATCATTTCATACATTTCCAACTTTGCACTGGTCACCTCTCCATACAACCCTTCATATGTTACTGTTCTGGCCTTAAAATCTAACATGACTTTCATCCCGGGATATTTCTTCTCCATTGTATCAATGAAATGTGTAAGGCTCAACATGACAACTTGGTGATGTTTCATTGGTGAAGTTGTTTCTTTAACTTGTTTCTTCTTTCTATCTAACTCATCAGCAATCTCTCCAATGATTTTTTCCACACTTTGAGAAACTTCTGTTGCAAACTTCTTGTGCCCCATGACGAAAATTTCAAAACGGACTTTTTCCACGGCTACTGTAACACCATCAGGGTGAGATATGTTCATATTCTGAAGCTGTGCCATTACACCATCCCAAGCGTCCTGGAGAATCTGATGTTTGTAGACAAGTAGGACATCCAGAAACTTGTCCAGACTTGTCCGTGCTGTCTTCTTCCATTCTTTGGCCAAATTCCGACAATCTTTAACTTCTTTGGTCAACAGACATTCAAGTTTAACTGGATCGGCAAGCTTTTCTGGCCAAATGATTTTTGTATGTTGTGCAGTTAACTGTTTTTCTAAACCATCTTTGTTTGGTTGAGAATACTGAACAAATTGGATCTTCCTTGGATCTAGATCAGTGATAACCAAGACATCTGGAACCTTAAATTTTGGTCCATCTTCTCCAGAGTCCCCTATCAGCTCATGGTAAAGTTTCACATCAAGGGTATGGCTATCCACAGTATGGGAGCGCCCACAGACATGGTCAATCACTGTAAACATCGAAACAACACGCTTACATTGAGTAATTAGGCCTAATTGTTATTGTTCATTCATCACAACAGTTATACCTTCAACATCTCAAAAAAAAATAAAAAAAATCTTTTGAAATGTTAGTAGCAAGTGCAGGGTTGCCAACTCTCACGGTGTGAGACGAAAACTCACGCTAAAACATGTCTCATGCCACGTGAGCCATAAGCCTCATGCATTCGAAAATAGTCTCCCTCCATCCCACGCGAAACAATAAATCGGCAATTTATAGCTTGAACCGTACAAAGGGAAACAACTCATATTGCAATGTTGTGCTTTGGAAGTGAGCTGACGCGAGGTGTCGCTTTACATCTGGTGGAAACGAATGTAAATAATATTGTAAGGTGAGTTGTTTTCACTCGTAAACTTAATATTGAATGTACCTATCGCGCTGAAAAGAAAGTTCTACTCATAATGTCGTCGTGTATGAGGAAATATTGTTGTCGGGTGTGATGACATGTGATGACATGTTGGGTAGACGTAGTACATAGGTATACAAATCATGCAACAAATTAATTGAATCGAATATCTCAGGCATGGTACAAGTAAACGATCAGGGGTGTTTGTTGCTTTGGATACTGTACTGCAGTAGCCAGAAATAATTTGAAAATATTTTTCACTGTCAAATTATCTGCTGGCTAAAAAAATTTGTTTATCTTTCATGTTAATGAACTTTTCGTATTACTACAATGGTAAATTTCTTGCTTTTGATATGAACTGTTATGTTTTTTGACAGGTCATGAAAGATCCCATGCCATACTAGCAATATTGACAGCAAAACAAAAAAATTAACTGGTACCTGTTCTAGCCAAGAAAGAAATTGTTACAAGAAAGTCCGTTGATTATAATGTGTTGCATTTCTGATGTCAAGTTGTTTGTGTGATAAATAAAAATCTAATATATATCTGCAAAAAATGTTTTGTTTTTATTTCCTGCAAAGATCTTGAAGTAAAAAGATCAACAATGCAGATGTTACAGTAATCAGTGAAAGCCAGGATTTGTTTGATACATAGGTAAATGTTATCTTAACACCTGAACAAGAGTACCACGGGGTGGAACAAAATACACCTGTCAAATGCCATATAGTGTTATATACTTTCTTACATTGAAATAAGATCTGCATCATTCTAAGAGTGGTAAGCTGATATGCTCTAAAAAATGTAGGAGAAAATTTTCAGACAAATTTAAATAATGAAATGAACAAAAGGCAATAAATTTTGCAAAAAATCGTCGAATCAAAATTCTTTTAGGGGAGACACAACTTCATATCATGATTATAAAGTATACCAAGTTTCAAATAGATCAGTCGAAAATGTAGGAGGAGATTGCCGGACAATCAAAGTTTACGCCAGATGGCCGGACGGACAACACCATACCATAATACTACCGTCAAATTTGACGGTCGTATAAAAAGACGTTACGCCGCGACGCCGTCAAAAGTCTCACACTTCAGAAAACCCAGTGGAGGGAGATCTCCCTCACTGGACTCCTTAGAGGTTGGCAACCCTGCAAGTGGCCAAAATTTTTACTCGTCCCTCTCAAAAGCAATACTGTTTAATGAGGGAACTGTAGAATGAGGAAATTTCTACAGTACCATGTACCAAATCAACAAAAGGCACAAGAGACCTGTCCCATGTACCCGTGATTTGTTGATATTGGTGTGTACAAAAATAATTTAAAAGCTGAAAATCTATACCGATTGAAAGCCTAATTACTGATTGTTATTGGTACCTTCTTTACCTGGAAATATATTTTCCAAACAAAATGTTCAGAATATACAGAGATTTCTGTATTAATGAAATAGTATATCGTACTGAATTCCAATAGGATTCTTGCATATATTGCATCCGTAATGGAAATTTTCTTTATTTGAGTTCAATTTAATGTATAACTGGCCGGTCTAAATCAAACCTGTGTGATCTTCAAAGTAGACAAGGTAGGATCCATCTTCCTGGTTCTTGACCTCCATCACGTCACCCCCTCCACTCCTACGGGTGTTTTCAAAGTAGAACTCTAGTGTGCTCAGGCTTGTTTTATCTCCAGCCCCTTTTACAAGGATACAATTAGATATCGGCACTCGGAACACCTTCAGGAAATGCTTATCCAATGCTTTCTTCTTACAAGCAAGTTCCAGTTTTTCAAAATCTGTAGGAAAAAAAAGATACAATGTCGTCACTAATTCTACCATCACTAATGCTACCACCACTAATCCTACCATCACTAATTCTACCACCACAAATTCTACCATCACTAATTCTACCATCACTAATCCCACCACCACTAATTCTACCATCACTAATCCCACCATCACTAATTCTACCATCACTAATCCCACCACCACTAATTCTACCATCACTAATCCCACCACCACTAATTCTACCATCACTAATCCCACCACCACTAATTCTACCATCACTAATCCCACCACCACTAATTCTACCATCACTAATCCCACCACCACTAATTCTACCATCACTAATCCCACCACCACTAATTCTACCATCACTAATCCCACCACCACTAATTCTACCATCACTAATCCCACCACCACTAATTCTACCATCACTAATCCCACCACCACTAATTCTACCATCACTAATCCCACCACCACTAATTCTACCATCACTAATCCCACCACCACTAATTCTACCATCACTAATCCCACCACCACTAATTCTACCACCACTAATCCTTTCACCACTTATCACGGATTCCATGAAAACGAATCCACCCAACACTTACACTATCACCCCCAATCCTAGTAGACAACTGTTATATATTTACACTGTTAGTACATTGATTTCCAAGATTCTACACACCTGGTGGTTCTTCAAATGTCACAAGTACAGTGTCCTCCTCTTCTCCAGGTAAATAATGTGTTGGCGTCACATTAGCCTTTGCCTCCAGGAAATTTTCTAGTCCATCTTTTGTTGTGTCTGGATTCTTTCCCTTTATGAGCACCTTATCAGGATACAGAGGGCGTGGGTTTGGTGGTGGCGGTGGGATGTACTGTTTCACTTCCAATTTGCCCCCCTCCAGTTTGTGTTCTCTTTCCACAACAGCTCTCACCACTGTAAATACCATAACAGAAATTCAACAAACAGGACAGTGTTGATTCTATAGATATTATTACAAGACAAGTTCATAAATATTCCATAAAAATCAATGTCCAGCCATTGTGTATGGTTATAGGCGAAGGATTGCAACCTTTTTCATGCTACTATTGGCCGGAATGCAAGTGACCAAGTCCTGATTGGCAGGGTCACACTCTCAGGCCAATCCTTAAAGCACACTTGTTTGTCAAGTCTCAGGACTCAAGGAAGCAGATATAAGTTATAAGATGGGGGTCTCAACCATTTCTAAGTTATCACCTTTTCTTGGCACAATCCCTCAGCTCTCTGGGTTGATCTTCATTCCCCTGCAGTTGTACAATTTTTAATCATTTGCACCCCATGAGAATGTTTCTACCCAAATACAATGTATGGATTATATTTATCTCTTAGTTCCAGAAGAAGTCTCTTATAGCAAAGTGGCCAAAGTGCCCTCTTTGGACCGGTTGCTTAGCACCCTGTGAGGTCAATGCCTCTGTTAGTATATTTATTAAAAGATAATTGTAGTTCCTTAATGTAATAAGGCTAAATAAACCCTTTTTGGCCCAACCCCTGAGTACCCCCTCCAACACACAAGGGGTTATAATATTCATTTATACAAAATTAATCTTTACCACCTATGGAAGTTTTCATTCAAACATGGTGAAATTCAATTCAGCATATATGTATCTGAAGAAGATATTGTTGTTGACACTTTGACAGAGATACACACAGATGCCAATTTTAAATGGCATAAGGTGAGCTAGAAAATACACTCTGCCTCGAAACTGGGTACAACAGAAAAACTGATATAAGAAGTTGAATTTGAATTACCGTCTTCAGTTTCATATGTAATGTAGATGACACCCTCCTCCCGTTCTGAATCATCGAGCTTCACAATTTCTAAAGGTTTTCCTGCGGCCTTCTTGCTTTCAAAATAAAGTTCAATTGTGTCTATGCTGGTGGTCTCCTTCACGCCCCGCACCTCTATCGTACAGGACGGTTTAGTCTCTTCTTTATCACTGGTTTCTTCCTCACTGCTGTCTTTACCCATAGCTCCAGAATTGTAGCTCTCTGGGACAAATCGCTCCACTTTGATCTGCTTTTTCTCTAACAGTAATGGTAGCTTCTGTAGGACACGTTCAACCACTGAAACAAAACAATAGATATCCTATCACAACACTGGGCCCCTATAGTTTACTGGTAATGCTCAAATCAAGAAACATGTACAGATGGTTCCTCAAAAGTTTACTTATAATAACCACAACACTATATATGTACCCTTGTTTAACCCTTGTACCACTGTAAACCATAATGGACTCATCCAGATCAATGCATGTAAGAGTCTACTAAAGTTACACTGGGTGTTAAGCGAAATCAAATGTGAAAAGATTGTTTTAAAGAATTGTTGATATATTATTGCATTCACATATCTGATAAGTCTACCTCTGTAGCCTAGTTTAAGTAGTTTACTGAGAATGATTACATCCGATACGAGTACAGTAAAACATGGTTATATTAACGAACCCCAAGAAACCTACTTTATCAGTCACTTATGCAGGTAGTCCTATATTTATTGGGAGTTATATGTAAATATGTATAAACAATGTAAACATAAATCACCAGAAATTCTTTTAATTCATCTTAACACATGTATAATGCATGAGATGCTCACAGCTTGATTTAATAAATTCTCAAGAGGCTGCCTTCGTACTGCCACAGTCTCAAATTGAGCCTGGAGAAAACAGCATTTCGTTAATATTAGTACTCGACTTGGAACAATGATGACCGAATCCACATCCTCTCCCTCCACCTCCACTTACTCCTCATCGTTTGAAATATTGAGTACGTCTTTCACAACCTCATTATCCGACATATGTCATATTCATAACCTCACAGTCAATATTAATGAAATCCAACATTGTGACCTTGACCTCAGCAGCCTCGGTCTCAACTCAACACCTTACAGTGAAATTGTCATTGAAAAACTTACTTCACTGTATCGTGATCAGTTAGTCTATAGATATTCTGTACGAAGCATAAACAAATACTTTTGATAAACAACCCAACACATATAAAATGTCATCGAGAACACTACTCGCCGTGTTCAGTAGTCATACAAAACGTATAAAAGCAGGTAGCTGACAATTGCCCCTTGAGCGCCTCTCTTGGAGTCGGACCATGGTCGAGGTCACTGGTGTGCGACTTCTGACTTCGAAAATTGGGTTTTGCACTATTGTGTTAAAAATAACAATGAACTTCACCTAAGGAGAGCGCTGATTTGCTTTGTAACAGATGATAATTCTCAAAGTATGTGAAACTCACAATACGATCATATGATTACATAAAAGTATGAGGAGTTGCGCTGACCGGGGATCAGAATCAGTTTGCAATACTCATGAAATCGCAATAAGCGTGCTTGTACTAAACATGTTTTACTGTACTCTTGAATTAATTACTAAGGCATTGCTAACATCATAAGTCAGACATGTACTCTACCAGTTTACCAGTGATCATTACATCATTATACATGTACTAGTGATGGGCATTAGGTTTAACCCTTTCACCACTGTAGACCATAATGGACTCATCCAGATTATAATGCATGGTAGAGTCTACTAAAGTTACATAGGGGTGAAAGGGTAAAAATAACAATCAATGATTGGTATGTAATCAGAAGTAGCAAAACGATTGATGATGGATGGCATGTTTATAATTTCATGGGACAGAATACCCAAATTAAGTGAGAACATTAGTACTACTGTTACATCAATAGACAGAGTTGTTAACTATACATCAGGTTTCGTTCTTCAATAACGGATTAATTTCAAGCAATATTTATCCAGTTATGACTGTCGATGTATATTTTACATTTAACATTTTTATTTTGATGATGTACCAATTATATCAAATACGGAATTTGTTATCAATAATCGAAATTGGAAAGGGCAAACGGATCATTTTTTTATTATCATTGAACATCAGCCAATCACTAACTCCAATTTACCAGCAATGCTTTGTATCAAGCCCATCAAAATGTACAAAAATTATCACTTTTTAGATCTATAGATTCAAGCATATTCTTAAAGGACTTACCTCACAGAGTTTATTCAACTTTTTTTAAGGAAATAATGATTGAATGCTATATCAAAAGATTGTTTAAAAGTTTGAAAGAGCAAATAAGTGGAGAAAATTCAAACAAGAGGCCCGGGCAGAGGGCCTGTATCGCTCACCTGGATATCTAAGCAATTATGGCAAAATATTCTCCAGATGAGATCCAAGGGAATATGCCAGACCCCAAGGCCAATCCTTGTAGCATATCTGTATTTTATTTTTTATGCCCAGCAATTTTATGTATAGTTATGGGGTGGGGATCTCAACTGTTTCCAAGCTGTGACTCAGAAACTAGGTCCCTAGGGTTGTGGCCAGACCCCAGGATCAATTCTAATATCATGACTGCATTTGTCTCTTTTTGCCCAGCATTTGTTTATATAGTTTTCGGTTGGGGATCTCAACCGTTTCAAAGTTATGACCCAGGGGTTATGTCTGCAAGGGTGGGGCAGACCCTGGGGTCAATTTTAATATCATGACTGCATTCGTCTCTTTATACCCAACAATTGTATATATAGTTTTGGGGTAGGGATCTTAACCGTTTCAAAGTTATCACCCAGGGGTTAAGTCTCCAAGGGTGGGGCCAGACGCTAGGGCCATCCTGGAAGCAAATGTGCATTCCTCTCTTTATACTCAGCAATTGTATATATGGTTATATGGTGGGGATCTCAACCATTTCCAAGTAATATTTTTTTTTGGCCCCACCCCTTAGCCCGGGGGTCAGCCCCACCCTTTGTACAATTTTGAATCCCTGCCTCCCATGAATGCTTCCGACCAAATATGATCAATATCCATGGTATAGTTCTACAGAAGAAGTCGTTTATAGCAGTATAGTCAAATTGCCCCCTTTTGCCCAGCCCTCAGCCCCCTGGGGGGTCAGCCCCACCATTTGTACAATTTTGAATCCCCACCACCTAGGGATGCTTCCAGTCAAGTATGGTTGATATCTATCTCTTAGTTCCAGAGAAGAAGTCGCTTAAAGTAATATAGCTAAATAACCCTTTTTGGCCCCGCCCCTCAGCCGCCATGGGGGTCAGCCACACCATTTATACATTGTTGAATCCCTGCCTCCCATGAATGCTTCTGATTAAATATGATTGATATCCAGTGCATAGTTCTACAGAAGAAGTCCTTTGTAGCAATATAGCCAAAATGCCCTTTTTGCCCCGCCCCTTAGCCCCCTGGGGGGTCAGCCCAACCATTTGTACAATTTTGAATCCACACCACCTAGGGATGCTTCCAGTCAAATATGGTTGATATCCATCTCCTAGTTCCAGAGGAGATGTCGCTTAAAGCAATATAGCCAAATTGCCCCCTTTTTGCCCAACCCTTCAACTCCCTGGGGGGTCACCCCAACCATTTGTACAATATTGAATCCCCACCACCTAGGGATGCTTCCAGTCAAATTTAGTTAAATTCCAATCAGTGGTTAAGAAGAAGTCGTTTAAAGAAATTGTTGATGGACGGACGACGGACGGACGACGGACGAAAGGACGACGGACGTCACGGTATGGCATAAGCTCACCTTGGTCCTTCGGACCCGGTGAGCTAATAAATCAATATCTTTCAATTTGTTATCAGCTATATACCGTAAATTCAATTGTCATACCTGCAGGGTCTTTGAATGTTATAATAGCTGTAGCGGACTCTTTCCTGAAGTCCATTTCATCGATTTCCCCTCCTCCAGTTTTTTTTCTGTTCTCAAAAAAGTAGGTCAGAGTGTCCTCTGTGGTCTTGGGCGATATCTCTGTAACCTTGATCATCCCTAGCTGTTCAGTTTCTTCCTCTTCCTCCTCTTCCTCTTCTTCTTCCTCTCTCTCAGCTTCAGCAGCAACTGCTTCTACATACGATTTAGAAATAAATGGTTAATTATCTTCCAGAAATTTACAAACTATAGCTTCTTTGAGTGCTAATTAACATCAAAACTATCAACTCATTTACTTTATTACTTTTATCTAACTTTAGACATTTCTCGTTGAAAGATATGAGATTGGTATAGATAAGTTTGATGGAGAGATTTAGCTTGGTGTAATGACTTAAGTCATACCATTCTCAAATTTACCAGATGCATCCGGTGCATATTCTGGTGAAGGTTGATATGGATATTGATAAGGATGAGCCATCCTCGGAGAACCACTAGGACCTGGATGCATTCTGGGATAAGCACTATAAGGTGGTGGTTGGCCCTGGGTGTATGGACCTGGAAATCTTGGAACATAATGGCCACGATATTGTGGCAACGAGTACATTCCTTCTGGACCTTGCATTTGTCCAGGATATGGCTGTCCATAGTTAGCAGGCATTGATGAATGCCCTTCAGCTGGTCTTCCTTGAGCATCTGGCTTTATGTCTGAACCTTTACTACTATCTGAAGCTTGTGGCTGCTTCCATGGGCTAAGTGGCTGGCTGCCATCTTGTATAGGATGTTGATGACCTTCACCTTCATCACCCATCCCTGGTGATTGTCCTTCTTGACCTTTAGCCTGCTCTTGAGGAGGAGGCCCCCCTGGGGGTCCTGGTGTTGAGACCTCGGGGTAAACCACAATTTCTGTTCCTGAAGGACCTGGTCTTGCTCCCATAGGGTTTGGCCCTTGTTAACTATAGCTTCTTGGAGGATATCCCTGATTATACGTCTGAGGTACATTCCCTGGATGTCCCGGATATTGACCATATAAGCCTGGATACTGAATGTTCTGATAACCAGGCTGAGGTTGATAACCAGGCTGAGGTTGGTAACAAGGATAACCTTGGTATCCAGGATGTGGATAATATTGTTGTTGTCCAACATTTCCTTTTTGTTGTGTTGTATCACCAGAACCAACCGGAGGGCCCAAAGACTGAAAGATAAAAAAAAACATTTTTATACATTAAAAATAGTAAAAGTCTACCAAATATCTACAGTTAATATTAATAATAATGATGGGTGGTTAATTTTGTATTTTAAGGTAGCTTATTGGACTGTAATAGGACGAGGAATAGTGATAAAGATAGTGCCCTTGCTGGGGCTCGAACCCGTGATCCTTGGCTCTCCAGTCTGAAGCTCTACCGCTGAGACAAAGAGGAATTCCCTACAGCCGACGCTTGTAAGGCAACCTAATGAATGCATATCTTTTACATGGCAAATTCCGTATGACAATATTGCATTATGGGATAGACAGAGAACCAAAAAACTGTATTCAAAGGAAATAGGCAATGCATATCTGCTGTTTACTCACTGTATAAATTACTTTATAAGAATTATAAAACTTAAGCAAAATCAGGGAGGCATGCAATCACAAGATTCAGAACATTAATATTTTTAATTGTTTATTGGCATCTTTAATTGCTTTAGCTACTAAAGATGATGCTACAAAATACAAACAGTGTACATTTTAAAATGAATACAAACTTCCATCTCTTGAAGCAAATGTGCAAGCAAAATACTTCTAGTCAGTCAGAAAATTGCAGGAAAAATTGAATTCCTTTTTGTTAGACAGTTAATTTAAACAATAGTACCGCGCGGCGGAACAATATACGCCCGTTGAATGCCATATAGTGTTATATACATTCTTACATTGAAATAAGATCTGCATCATTCAAAGAGTGATTAGCTGACATGCTATAAAAAATGAAGAAGAACATTTCTGGACAAAAAAACTTTTATGGGAGACAAAACTTCATATCATGATGATAATGTATACCAAGTTTCAAAGAGATCTGTTGAAAAATGTAGGAGGAGATTGCAGGACAGAAATCAAATACTGAAATAAACAAAGGGCAATGACTTGTGCAAAAATTGTTGAATCATAATTCTTTTCAAGGGAACAACAACATTTCATGATTGTTTAGCCTACTAAGTGTCAAAGAAATCCGTCAAAAAATGTAGGAGAAGATCTCAGGACAAAAATTCAAATACTGAAATGAACAAAGGGCAATAACTTTTGGAAAAAATTGTTGAATCAAAATTCTTTCAAGGGAGACACAACTTCATATCATGATTATAATGTATACCAAGTTTCAAAGAGATCGGTCGAAAAATGTAGGAGGAGATTGCCGGACAAACGAAAGTTTACGCCGGACGGACGGACGGACGGACGGACGGACGACCCATACCATAATACTTCCGTCAAATTTGACGGACGCATAAAAAGTGTGTTGGGACTCTCTACCTTAAGGAAGGTGGCAATTCTCAAACAATATACACATGAAATCTGTATAAGAACTCAGATGCAATGTACATGTATACATATCATTGTCTTTACCTGTAGGTCTACCTTTTCCCATGACGTTGGAATGTCACAGGGTATACAAGGACTGATCTCAAGTACATAATTTGGTAATTGAATTCCACTCCTTTTCAACCATGCATCAACCTCTACAAAAAATAATAAAAAAAATATGAGTTTTTTTTATTTCACAGCCAAACCTTTTTTTTATCAAGAAACCAAATGTCATAATAAATTGATCATTAAATAATTGAAAATCACTTTTCTCTCAAAACCTATTTTGTACAACACATGTATGCACGTATACCCATATTGTCGAGTGCTGCTTATCCAATCAAAATGATCAATAAAAGATCTAGATATGCACCAATCCAAATTGACTTACATATGTATATTCAATATATCATTTAATATTATTGTTTATAAGGATCTGATCTGCATACGGTTATACTTATTTTAAGCGATTGATTAACGCAATTTAGTATTAATCGCTGGGCACCAGTGAATCTTTTCACAAAAAATCTTATGATTTATCGTAAAATTTTGAGTTACAATTATCGTAAGAGAACATCTTTGCCCAATCAAAGCAGTTTCGTTAAATAAATTTCAAGATGTTTAAATAAAGAGAAACGGAACTGTATACGCCCCGAGTTTGTTTTTTAGTGTCTTTAAACTTAAACTAATTTTTAAAAGGTCTTTTTCTGTGATCTTTTGTTATTCAATTATCAATATATATATGAGAATGTGGTCAAACCAATTCATAGAAACATTACATGTAGTAATTGAATCTCTGAAACCATAATACAAGTCTGGGTCATGTGGATCAAGGTGGATTTTTTTGTAATGTTACCTCATCTTCAATGTTGAGCGGAGCGAGGAGAGTTTTGTTTTTGATGTTGTTAAATTACAATTTTAGCTAGTTACAAAAATTGAAAACATCATATTACCCATCAAAAATAGTCACTATGCAAATTTAAGGGGCGGGGGAGGCTTTATTTATAGACATTTCAGTCAAATCATCTTCAGTGCTGGTGCAGGTGGCATTTTGATGCATGCGTATTTGGACGAATTATTAACTAAAACCCTTACTAATGTGACGAATTGGCCTGTAGGCCTACTAATGTTAGGTTATATGTTGTGTAAGTTATAAGTTACAAGTTATACGTATATATGATCCTGAGATTTCCTGATTGAGGAATAGTTTGTGTGTGATTTTAACAATACACTGATCGGATTCAAACAATAAGTAACAAATCAAGGACAGTCAAACCACTGATTTATTAATAAATGCAATTAAATTTGTCGTTAAATTATGTCATTGAAACTAACACCGCCCCTTATGGAACATCTATATTGTTTTGGTTAGAAATAGGGCATGACTTAGGTGCAGTGGTAAAATCTGCCTTGAAAAACCTTTTCTCGATATATCGCTCTTTAGTTCGTTTTCAAAGCAATCGTAGCAGCCATGTTTAAAATTACGATTAAAATCATATTATATAAATTTACACTTACAATCAAATTTTACACTTAAAAGAGAGCTGGGTCAAGCTATCGTCAAGTTATGATAAATTTTTCACTTAAGATTCTCGTAAGAATTTTTGTGAAACGGAACAAAATCGTAAATTTTCTCTAACGAGTAAAAATTATCGTAAGATTTTTTGTGAAACTGGGGACCAGGTTTTAAGCTCAAATGGCTGTTGTCTCAAGCCTTAGTCTAGAGTTCAGAGGTACTAGTTTTGAATCCGGGTCTGGCTGTGCATTTTCCTCTCCTGTTACAATGGTGCCTGTGGACAACTCTTAATCGTTTTAAGTACTGGGTTAATAAATGCTTTGCAAGGGGCTAATGTCCTGAAACTGGTTATTGAGTGATAGTTTTTGGTGGATCGATCGCTGGAGACCAGGTAGCTAAATAAGTTTTCAGTGCATGTCTTATTTAATACATCTAAAGTTCAGAGGTCCCGGGTTGGAGTCCCAATTTGACCATGCATTTTCTCCCCTTTTCGCATGTATGACTTTAATTAATTGTGCATGTAGTAATAGTGACATCGGTCACCTTCTACAGCTTAGTGCTGGGAATCGGTCAAATATTCAAGATCGATAATCGGAACTCCATAATCGATCGATAATCGATTATCGGTTTAAATGACCTACTCTTGTAACATAAGAGGCCAGACGATTTATTACCTGATGTAATTGTGCCGACTGATGAGAAAATACTCGTTTCCGAAATGTAGGCGGAAGGAAGGGTTCACTTACATCTCTGTTTTGACTCAAAACTTGATGACAACTAGGTGTACTCACAGTTTAGGTATTAATTACAACCATTTGAATGCTCCAATCACTATAACATACCATATTAATAATAATTTATCACGAAAAACAATCTGCTAGCTTCATTTTACTAGCTTTCAAATATGGCGGTTCCGGTTGATACGAAATGCAGATGTATGTATTAAACGAAATGAATACAAAGGCGCAACGAAAAGCAATTCCGCTTTTTTACCATAAACAATTCCGTTTTTATATTAGCCACCAAATTTATAATGTCGATGCAGATGTTGCGTCTGCTTCAAGTTAGAAGAGATTTACAATACAATTAAACATAATCGATCTTTCATCAACAAAATCGATTATTGGATCGGACCCTTTTCAAACTTGATTTAATCGATGTTTCCGATTATCGGTACACCACTACTTGATTATCGGTACACCACTACTTGGCGCTATAGAGGGAATTTCCTATAGCTCAATTGGTGGAGCAGAGGACTGGGAAGCTTGGGTTCTCTTGGTTCACTCTCCGGTTGGAAACACATTACTCGCTTCCCCATTACAAATGGTGTATATGTGGCCCTTCTTATGGTGACCGGGAGTTAAAACCAGCTATATGGTTGTAGTGCAAATTATTCGGACGTTTTATCAACTTTTTTAATATCGGTCTGTCGTCGATTAACGTCAGAACTCCGGCCCTCTATAATATGCGGGAAATATGCGCCCCGCGCCTGGAGCGCACTTCAAACTGATATTTTAGAAACAAATCGTCACTTTCACACACATGTCGCACATGGATCGAAAGATCTATTCTTTATGCACTAGGTGGGATCAATAACATGTTTCAAAAAACATTACGAAAAGTATTTTCCAACGTTTTCTATACCAACCCATGTTTTTAATGGAAATTAGGCCATGAGCAATGTCACATGACTTAACGAGATCTCACGTTACCGAAGGTATTTCCCAACATTATGATGTAGGCCGGCGAGATTAGTCATGTGACATTAGAAGGCGGGGGCTACCAAAAAACTAGAGTAAAACAATAAAAGTTGAAAAAATGTGTTTTTAGTGATTGTATTGGTTGTTTGAGGCATGCTTTGTATGTTCATCTTGTACAGAAAGAACAGATCTTTCGATCCATGTGCGACATGTGTGTGAAAGTCCATAAAACTTCAGAATAATTCGGACTAGGTTGTTGTGGCATTTGAGGCCGGGCATACAAATTTAAAAAGAGGGGAGTCGGTGCAGCATATTTTAATGGTACATAGGATTGTTGGCTTCTAGCTTCATGCAAGAAGGATCGACTTTCTCTTTAGCTCAGTGTTAGAGTGTCCGACTAGGAAGTATATATGGGATTGCTTGTTCGATTCCTGGTGGAAGCACACTTACTCTATTTTCTGTTCTGCATGTCATGCATAATTTGCATGTAATTGAACCAGCAAATATCTAAATAGTAAATGAACATATTTCTTCACTAAAAAAAATATGTAAAATGGGCGATGTACGTCACTGCGTGTACAACCTGGAAATGGAATTCCTACTTTCGTTTTTGATTTGTCAATAATTCGGCAAATCTCCGTTGTATTTGAAACGTTCGTATTTCGTGAACGGGCATATGAACGCATTCGCTATAACTATAGTTTGTTTAATATTACTATCTCCTTTGTATAATGGAATAATAACAACAACAAAAGTTTTACGTTCTTACCAGCTCCATCATGAAATAACATCAGCCATTTTGTTCGTTCGATTTGGGCACCCGCGATACTTTCTGCCTTCAGACATTTTGTAAATACCAGTCTCACTTGGCTTTCATTTGTATCCGCCGGAAAGCCTTCAACAGCTATACAATACGGCTTTAAATTTTCTCTGAAGTTGTCGCTAGCCATATTCTATATCTTCTAGGCCCTACGTCTGGCCCATTCTGCTTCGACTTTGATTGTCTAGTGATCATGTCACATGATGAAATATATCAGAATCACACAACCTGATTGGTTGCTCAAAAATAGTAACAGGGAATTTCCAAACTACCTGGAAATCCGTACTTTCGATATCTCCAATTTTCAGAAATCGCATTTAGTTCATTGGCGAAATAGGGATGGTAAATTAAAACACACACATGTATGTTTAAGAAATCGAATTTGAATTTATAATGAGGATGATACAAGACACACAAATATTTATTTTCTGTCGATTTTGCAAAACATAGAACATAATTAATTGTATTTCGACAAAACATATGGGTATAATAACAGAGACAAACATTACAAAATTAAATTTAAAATTAAAAAGACAAGTAGACTATACTGTATTAGACTAAGCACTGAAAATGAGTTTATCGCTAGAGGATTGTATACGTATATGTTATGACTAGTTTCTATACGTAATTCATGCTAATTATTATTGTGCAATTTACCACTACTTTGTGTGTCTTTTCAGACCGTGTTCATTGCTGAATAAACATATTTTAAAGTAAACGGAACAGAGTCTCATTTATGAACACGGTCTTTAACCCCTCTGTAGCTATATAGGTAGGCCTAGTCCAGGAAAGGAGATGTACTGCGGAGATAACGGAAATCACGACCAGGAGGAAGTCTTCTTCTTCTTCTTCTTGTGGATAATAGCAATCCTTCACATAAACTGAAGAGTACATGCTATTTGCATACAACACATAAAAAGAAAACCATCACATGGAAATCTTATAAGCACATAGTATAGGCACATTTGCACTCTGTAAGCACATATATACACATGGTAAAGCACACTAGCACATGCCTGCATGAGCACATCAGCGTACAGTTAGCATACAGCACAAAAATTCAAACCACTGGCAGCACACCACAGAAAAAAAAGTTTACTAGGATATACATAGGGTACATCCGCATTCAGGGTCTTCCCACATACGAATCAGTCTGCCAGAGTAGTTCTCTGCTTTTCGTAACTCGTTCGGGAGGCTGTTCCATATATGCGGGCACCCTGAAAACGGAAAGACCCTTTTCCATACCTGGTGGTGTTGACCTGTGGTAGCTCATTTCATCTTATTGTCAATTACACGAACCCTTGTACACTGGCTATCCTTCAATGAAGAGAGCCTTCGAATTATCTGTTATGAAGTAGGTCATCTGAAATAATTGATGACCTTTTAAAAGTGTCGTACATCCTTTCAAAGAATCAATCAGCTTTCACTCTCACTGTTTTGTCTCTTGGATGAAAGTGGCTGCAAAGCTTGGACAGGTTGGTCCAAAGAACTCTTTCTCAAAACCCACTTGTGGTTGGGTTCCATATCTTTCTTCTTCGGGTATATACCAATTCTACCCAAAACGGCTTTTGCTACTTTGGGTTAAGATGAAAACCGATATCTCTTTGAATCAGTGTTCTGCTTTTTTGGGGTATTTTCGTGTCCAGTATTTCAAAAATAAATAATTCTGTAGTACAAGCATTGAATAAATCTAACAGTTCCAAGGTTCCTCGATCCCGACCATTTTCGCAGAAACATTCTTTGGAGACAGAGTGACTGCCATACTAGATGGTACATATAATTATATGAAAAGGTGCTGACCATACGCTTCATATGATGTCTTACTGTGACCAGAAGAAGAGTAATTATTATAAACTCATGACCATAGTTCTACCTCTTGGTTACATTTTGGACACGGTATGGACCACTCTCTGGAAGCAAGCTTTACAAAAAAAACCATTATAGATAAGCTCACATGGTTGCATCTTCGCTAGCCAAGTGTTCGCTTCGTATACACTCCAATTACACGAAGCGAACACTTGGCTAGCGAAGATGACATGGTTGGAGCAAGACGACAATGAAGTCGTTGATCGAGGTTTTAGAGATGTCCTGTCGATTGACCATAAATGTATGTTCATTTGACCCTTTCTTTGAATAGGTTCCACCGCATATTTTGGATTGATATTTTTGTCACTGGTAGGTGATGACCTCGTCCTTCTATAATCAAAATATATATAAAGTTATCAAATACTTATATTCTAAGATGAACACATTTTTTTTTTGGTCCGGAAAATATCATTGATTGAGATGGCTTCTGGCTGTTGATTTGTCTGTAAATATCTGATTACTCATCATAGAAAGAGATTTTTACATGTATTCTGATCCCTAGTGGTGGTTGCATTAAAAATGGTCATTCAATGCTTTGTTAGTTTGAAAACATTCGTCTTTTTAGTGGAAAAACGTTTTGAGAATTTCAGTTTTATGCTTCTACGAAAAACGAACCAAGTGCTCATTTGAATTTTAGTGGATGTTTTTCACCAAAACATTGAAATCAAAAGAGGTGCCGTTTTGGAACCGCCTCCCTTTCTGTCAGTTATGAAGCTAATGGAGATAACGGGAGCGTCCTAAGACGAATAAAACAGGAACTCAGCAACAAAAGTTTTTAACGCATCGAACAAGGAATGGTGCAGGGTGGTGGTAGAGCATAGCGGTCTAATTAATAAGCTGAAACTGAAACATCATGCACAACGAAGTGGTAAATGAGACCAGCAAGAAATGTGACGAGACTCAGAAGGCAAACAGGAACTGGAGAAGTGAAACTGATGACAGGGTCAATACGATATGCTCAGACAGGATATTAAAATGGCCAAAGAGAAAGTAGGAGACTGTTTGCAGATTGCTAAGCGGTGCGACGACACAGTCAAACTTGGTTGGTTCGGCCGATTCGACGAAAAACTGTCAATCAAAGATATAGGGACTTCGAAAACTGTGTAATGACATGGAAGGAAAACATTGAAGATCAACGGAAAAAACAGAAGAGAGAAAATGAATCGACATTGACTAAAAATGACAAGAGGCCAAGCACTGATTTAAGTAAAAGCACAAGCACAACTTAACATTTTCGGATCACTCCCTTTCTGCCTTGGATTCCGATATAACTGGAAAGGATAACAATTCTGACGATCGCTGTCAGGTGAATACCTGGAAAGAAAGTTACCTTTCGCTGAGCAAAAGAGGAACACAACTAACATCAAATTCCTCACACACCGGAGGGCAACGACAGATAAATGAAAACGTTGGTAAGGCTCCTAAACATATATAAGAGTTCATTGTCCAACGTCAGCGTATAAGTAAGGCCCAACCTCGCAGATAATTTTGTTTGCTTTAGGACAGTGTCAGGAGAAGCATCTGTAGGTACTATGTTCACTGAATCAGTAGCAGCATTACATCAGAACTGGCCATTGTCGTTTTGTTGGGTTTAGGACATTGTCAGGAGAAGCATCTGTAGGTACTATGTTCACTGAATCAGTAGTAGAATTACTTCAGAACTGGCCGATGTCGTTTTGTTGGCTTTAGGACAGTGTCAGGGGAAGCATCTGTAGGTACTATGTTCACTGAATCAGTAGCAGAATTACATCAGAACTGGCCAATGTCGTTTTGTTGGCTTAAGGACATTGTCAGGAGAAGCATCTGTAGGTACTATGTTCACTGAATCAGTCGCAGAATTACATCAGAACTGTCCAATGTCGTTTTGTTGGCTTTAGGACATTGTCAGGAGAAGCATCTATAGGTACTATGTTCACTGAATCAGTAGCAGAATTATATCAGAACTGGCCAATGTCGTTTTGTTGGCTTTAGGACATTGTCAGGAGAAGCAACTGTAGGTACTATGTTCAGTGAATCAGTAGCAGAATTACATCGGAACTGGCCATGAGTGACTATCTGTAGCGCGAAGGTGTTCGTGTGACATTCCTCAGATACTTTCTGAATCGATGGACGAACACAGCATCTGCTCAACATCATGGCTAATGATTCTGAGACGGGGGTGAAGAGCTGAATACGATGTGCTGGAATGTGGAAGGTACTATGTCTGGCACAACACATCTATTCGAATGTCTTGAACAGTATGATATTCATTTATCTGTGGACTGTCAGAACATTGGCATTGCGTGTTCAACATGTTGTTTTCTAATACTTTCGAAACGGTAGGATCAAAAAACCGGTATTTGAGGTTGATCCTTTCCGACACAAGCGCAATATAGGAGGTGGAGTGGCATTGCTATACACAAAGTCTGAGTATCGTATATCTGAGATTGAAGTTGAAAGCCCGAGAATAGAGCAGCGGAGATATATGTCTCTGAAAACTTGACAGTTTATTTTCTTGTTGTATACATACCCGAATCATCTAGAACAAGTAGAACAATTGGAAAACGCTGTATTCTACATAATAAGAAAAGGGAACAGTATTAATCATAGGTGACAGGAATGTTAAAACCAGTTGACTGAGATCAAAATTTACACAAATACTTTTCATACCATACCACATGTAAGATTCTTAAGTAACATGCCATCTCACTGGTTTAGTGAACAGATTATTAACTGGACGACTAGCTTCAATTTAAACAGAGAATATATGGTGTATGTGAGAGGAGAACTTTCAAGTTGGACTTAAATAACATCGGGGTACCTCAAGGATCCGTCCTGGGGTCCATTCTGTTCTTAATATACATACATATGTATTAACTCCGGCAAAGATTTTGCTGATGACACTAAATTGTACAGGGTGATGAATGGGCTTGAATATATTGAAGCTCTCCAACTGGATATGGAAAGATAGTGGAGCGACAAATGGCTCTTGAGATTCCATCCTGGTGAGTATCGAGAGAACGAACGTATTAGTAGGTCACTATAAGGATCATTGGGTGTTATAGACAATGCCCTAACATTTGCAGACCAAATTACTATTATTAATGTTTAACAGCCCATCAACACAGGATAGGTCATTAGGGCCAAATAAGTGTGCAGGTTAAAAAAGGAAAATCAAAGCATATTGACAGGTTGGAAAAAGTCCAAAGAAAAGCAACGAAACCAATTAAGGGATTTAGGGATATGTCATATCCGGACTAGCTTAAAATTATACTTAAAATTAAAGACTTAACTTACCAACTTTGATGTGCAAGGGGTAATGTTATATAGAAGTATTCAAGATGACGAGTCATGGCTGTGATAGAAAAGCGATAAATTTCCTTAAATTGTTGCAGTACTTTTCCGAAAGACTTGAATTTGTCAATTTCACTTATAGAATTAATACTGTAAGAATCTGTCTTGGGATGGGGGTCGCCCGGGGGCCAGCCGGTTTTACCTGGAGGGTGGTGGGGGAGGTCTTTCAGGTAAAGAAGTGATATAACAGTCTAAAAGTTCGATGCAATTGTTAGGCATGTTTAAATCTCAGGTAATTGTTTACTAAAAGGGTGTGAGTCAACGTCAACGCTTTGGTTGGGAACGTCGACAAGTCCGGCCGGTAACGACAATATCAAACCAGTATCGGGGCTCGGTCAGAACTTTCCTCGAAACCAATTCAATCTCAAATGTTGGAAAACTTAAGTTATATGATCGACTAACAACTGTTCCCTCTTTCCCCTCCACACAACATCACGATATCGCCAATCGTGACCGCCAGTAGAAGGGTAGCAATGGCAGGATTTTACATTGTAGTATTGACCGGTACCTGAAACTGAACAGTTATGGCTATCAAATCAGCTCTGGTGAAGAGTTTGCCAAAGTTTGTGACGTTATAAAATCTTAATAGAAAGGGCTGAAGAGGGATTGGAAGGGAGATTGGAAGAGGGATGGGAAGAGGATGGGAAGAGGGATGGGAAGAGGGATGAGATGGGAGATGGGAAGAGGGATGGGAAGGGAGATGGGAAGAGGGATGGGAGGAGGGATGGGAAAGGAGATGGGAAGAGGGATGGGAAGGGAGATGGGAAGGGGGATGGGAAGAGGGATGGGAGGAGAGATGGGAAAAGGGATTTGGGAAAACGGGCTGATGATGACATGGATGAGTGATATCAAACTAGGCAACTAGGATAATCCAATCCTGAATGTCTCCGCCGAACTATACATGTAATTCAAAAATATAGTTTATTTTGGTAAGAGAGGGGTTACGGAACATCGCGACATAAAGTGGGGGATGTCATATTATATGATTGGACCCTAGTTCAAATTGAACACCTAGAATTTAAAGAAAGACATACTAAAACTAGGCCCGGGAGTAACCCAAAGAATGTTAGATCAGGGCCAAGTACGTGCTGCGTACTCGTGAAATATACATGTATCAAAATATTAGCTACACTCGTGAAATATGATATTATTTGATATTACTAAAGACTCACTAAAGCTCGTGTCTTTTTTAAAGTTTGAAAATTAACTAAAGAGAGTTGGATAAATCTCGCTAAAGCTCGTGTCTTTTCTAAAGTTTGAAAATTAACTAACGAGAGGTGGATACTCCCTAAAGCTCGTGCCTTTTCTGAAGTTTGAAAATTAACTAACGAGAGTTGGATACACATGATAATTCACCGCCACTCGTTATGGAACCTCTATTTATATTTAATGCATATTTAAAACAAAATATATCGCATGTTCATAACATCTGGAATAATAAAAGACGTCGTCGCTTTGTAATATTGTTCCCGGGTATTGGCTTGAGTTTAGTCATGTAAACGTCGACAAAATTCAGTGAAGCGTAGCATTGTGTTCGGTTTACAAGTTTTGCAATGGACGCGATTTTCACCGCAGTACTAGTCAGCACGAAAAAAGATCGTTGTTTTGGTGTCCAAGCCAAATCAGTCATGCCATATCATGTATCGCTCACCTGAATATTTAAGCAGTCATAGCAAAATATTCTCATTAAACATTATCCTGTACTACAAATATTCCACTCCCAAACTGTGTCGGCTCCATCTGTTGAAACTACCAGACAAATATTTGTATAATAATTCTATGCTTTTTGGTAACAGTCACTACTAGACAACTTGTTGGATCTAAAAAGAAGGTTTGATGAAGTAACCTTGAAAATATTTTTGATTCATATTTTGTATGCTCTGGAAACATTTTTTTTTTACTTTTTGGCTATTAGTTTTCATGGTACATTGTAATAGGAAAAGTATCAGAAATGAAAACTCTCCACTACCACAAGGCACCACTGGACTACTAGAAGGATGTGTATCTAAAGTTTAAAATAGTCATCTTGATTTGTTAATGACATATATATGCTAAGGAAACACAAAATTTTGCATTTTTAACTTTTTATTTCCGTGGTTTTGGAAATGAAAACTCATTTAATTCCAATTCAAGTGGAGTTTCGAACGGAAGTCTGCGTTTCTTTCCATGAGTTAGCACTACGAGTAACATTTCATCAATAATGAATGCGTTCCTTAACTCTCTGTTGGTTGTAACCCGTTAGATCCTCGAGGATAACGAATCTCGTTCCTTTCAGCTTCCTACGCGCTTGGATGATCTCTTGCTTCTTGCGTCTTTGGGTAAATTTAGCGATAACGTTCCTTGGTAAAATTTTACAGTCTGTGAGCGATACCTTCAAAGTGTCCCGTAAAAAATAACTATTTTCTGAACACATTCCTCCACAGATTCCTTCTCGGTGTCCTGTAGTCCAGTTATACGCAAGCAATTTTTCCGGCCGTCGTTGTGTTTTCCCGCCATTTCCGAACCCGTTTATTCACATTCCCAAGTTCATCCTCCAGTTTGGATACTGTAACTTTTAAGTCCTCATTCTCCTGTTCTATATTGCTAAATCCACAACTCGGTCCTCCAGAGCTTCAATACGCTCGGCATGTTCTAGCTGAATGTCTATGCGTAATTTGTCTAATTTCTTCTCCAGAACTTCTTCTGTAACAATTAAGGGACTTTAGATCTCGTCCAGTCAAGTCTATCGTCCGTAGTTTTCGCACCAGTACCACTGGTCCTATTGGTGTTCACACTCTGTCCTCGCTGGGGTTTATTACTAGCTGACATGATTTTCAAAGTCTTTTGTAATATATCACAGTTTTAGGAAGTGTAAGTCCGTATTGTCCAGTATACCTACATATATATAGCGCGTCATGTATACGTACAAATGTAGATATATGGTGAGCAGTAGTCACGAGCGACTCTTTTCTTCTTTCTTTCTTTTGTGCATGGTATAGATAAAAGGTAAAAGCTGACGTATGTCTAAGCGTGTGATGAGGGCTGCATAGTGTATGTGTGCCTTAAGCTTGAAGTCCTCGATTGTTGTGCATTGCACTGCTGCTATGGGAAGGAGATTCCATTGTGTTATTGTGTGTGGAATGCTTATGTGTAGGTGTTCTTTGTAGCAGATGTGTGTTTGTATGCGTAAGGGTGTGCATGTCTGGTTCGAGGGTCTACTGGTAGGGGCCTTTCTAGGATATTTGAAAGAAGGGGCGTAGAATCAAATCTTTTGCCGAGCGGAGCGAGGCGAAAACATTTGTGGACCTTTTTTTTGCTAAAAAACATAAAATAATTGTGAAATGCACTAATGTAACGGTTCCTGACTTGGAGCATGTATATTTTATAGTTGAAGTGTCAGGGTTTGACATTTTTTATGCCGAATTCTCTCCATTAATGCCTATGGTATATTAAAATGATTAGATGGATCTTAACAGCAGTAGACCAATAACGAGAAATTCCAGACTGATAAATATATCTCTATTTTAGATTAAGTTCTGGTTTCGTTGAACGCTCACATGATACAAGACAAACAAACACTGAAGTATCAAGTTCTTTTGTTCTAAAAATATTGTAGGCTTTAATGTAGAATACATGATTGAATATGATAAATTGCCATATTCAATACAATATTAGCAGATCACGATTTTTTTTGATTTTTTTTTAAAAAGGGGGGGGGGGGCGTACGCCCATTACGCCCTCACCTGGACCCGCCCCTGACCGGTGCGAGTATAGATGTTGGGTTTATTGCTACGATTTGGTGTACAATTTTGTAAAAAAAAGAGGATTATTCTTATGAGAAATCGCCATGTTTGTAGTGTTGGCCATTACATGTAGTCTTAATCCATGTTTTGTTCAAAACACACATTTTACACAAAAATGTCTAGAGCCGGTGGCCAAACACGTGCACAATCTTATGGTTGAAGTAACGTTTTTTTAGGAGCCCGATGATATAGTGGACCGACTACGACCGCGCCTCGATCTGATCTCCCTCTTTTCGTTACTCAATATTATCACGGACTTAGATATAGTTCCGTGATATTATATATTTTTTTTCGATCTCTAACGACACGCAATAGCGTACGTATGAAATATTATCCGGACCGTAGCCCAATCCAGTCCGCTCGCTACAGCTATAAACAGCTTACAGAAAGACAGGAGATAAGGTATTGTACCGTCAATTCCTATAAATAACAATATAAACACTACATAGTACAACATACTATCGAATAACGACACTAACATACTCGCACCCACATAAACTCGTTAATAAACTTGCGATATTTAATATCGAAAGTAGAAAATACCATTTTTCAGGAACCAATCCGATTGTTTGATTCGCAAATATTTAATCACGTCATCATGCAGATGGGAGTCGAAGCAGAATGGGGTAGATCTACACCTATTCTTTTAACATGGCTAGCAGCAACTTTAGGGAACAGTTACAGCCGTATTGTATAGCTGTAGAGGGTTTCCCGGCGGATACACGTGAGATCCGAGTGAGACGGTTATTTACAAATTGTCTGAAAGCAGAAAATGTACCGGGCGCACATATCAAACAAAACAAATGGCTGTTGTTATTTCACGGAAGAGGTGGTAAGAACTTTAAATTATTTTGATACATTGTACAAAGGAGAACATTAGGCATAACATCAGTTTTTGTCGTTTATGACAAATGTTCTTTTCATCTGTCTAGTACAAGCGTTTGGAATTTACCAAAAGATTCGTTTGAGTCTCGACATTACAAATCTAAAACGGAAGTAGGCTATGGTATTATATATATAGTCGTCTAGTCATATGTTTCTGCGCGTTATATATTTCCGCGCAGACATTTTATCAAGCTATTTCTCGTTACTACTACGTGACCTGCTGCACATGTACACTTCACAAGGATATTTTAGACGTTCGACCATCCTGTGTAAACTGACACAAAAATTACTTGAAGTTCGTCAGAAAACATATGAATTAATCGCTGATTAAAAAACACGCATAAATATGCAGTTTTGCTTAATACACTTTTTACCTTGTCCAAAATGAACCCATACCTGAAAAACACAATGATATATTTTATTCATGAACCAGTCTTTTTGTTAGTCTGACAAACATACGAAAATGTTGTATGCAAATGAGGCCACATCTTCTCGCCAATTTTTTTCCACTTCCGAAGAGCGAAGGAGACATTCTTATATCGATAAACACTGTTTTCAATGAAACGTACTTAACCTTTTTATACAATGAACTTCCAATTTTCGTCAATTTTCAACAGAATAAAATGAGAAATAACTTGCCATCAACCAAAACCGATATAAGACTGCACAACTAAATAATAACAGATTATATTATTTTTATATATATAACTGAATAAATAAAATTTTTAAAAAATGTTAAAAGAACATAAATTCCTTCAAGCTGATCACATATTGAAAATAAAAAAAAATGTTAAATTTTCAAAATTTGTTTTGATAATTAGTTAAACGATCAAACATATTTTTTTCTACGAATCGGAGCATTTGTTTTCTTTTCTTTTTAGTGTATTCAAGTTATCTTGCTTCGAACACTTAATCAAAATAGACCACGGAAACATATATGAAGGCTACCTCCGACAGGAGAAATTCGTTAAAAGATGTTTGTTCTGATTTTTTTTAATACAGTTTTATGTTGCTAGTTTTTTGTTTCCATTGGTAGATTTTGTACATGTCTATGTCAGTCATCCATGATTTCAACAGTTTAGTACTGATATGAATACGAAATCGCGACTGCTTCTGGAAACCGATAATACGAGGAATATTATATGCAAGCATGACATGAATGCGTTGCAGGGGAGGTAACTCTGCATGTTTGTTATGATTTGTGAACTCTATGGTATGGGAGCTTGAGGAACAATTTCATGTTGTTGTTGGGTTTTGCCGAGATGGCGAATAAACGTGAATGAAGAACGAAGACTATTTCTGTATTCAATATAAAATACTACATGGTGGAGATCGAATTCCAAATGATCCCAAGGTGAAATTGTACATTTATCAACATTTTTAAACATTAATTATGGACAGGACTCCCCAGAATTTATTTAAACCTGAGTACCAAATGATGGACCAAAGTTTTCCCATCCCATCTCCGGAAATGCAAATGGTGTGAACCCCGTCTCCCGTGTACGTGGGTACCCCAGCTCCCTGCAGCATCTACGTAATATATATACATAGCCAAACTAGCCAACACAGCAACCTATGAACGATATGTCACCCCAGCCTAACAAAAAGGAAAACGCCTAGGGAAAACAGAACGGGACATAACAGTTAAGTTTACTGATGGTCTGTCTTCCCAATTAGCATCGTTTGTTTGTGCTGGAAAAGCTACAACTTTACGTGACGCTTTGCACTCTGCTAAAATTGGTGAGACCCATGGCTACAAAGAGCAGGACCCCAGACCTATGACAGCTGCCATATAGCGCCCAGTGTTATCTGACAACACGACAACTGATCAACTCCTAGCCCAACTTCAGGACATCGAGATACGGTTGGGCAGCATTGAAATGAGAGGGGCAACACCAAAGCAATCATTAAACTCCAGAAATTACAGATGGTAACCAGCACCGTAAACTCCAGGGTGATACACAGGACATACGACAATGCCCCACCCAGCAGGATTTGAATTGTGACACACAAAGGACATGTTTCCATATCAAACGTTCATGTAACTGGACTGAGGAGGAGGTCACAAACTCCGGACTGCAAGTGTCAAATCTGTAAACAGTGGGGTCACAAAGCTTATCAAACTTATCTCATAGTTTTATGTACCAATACTTCAGTGTGTGTTCACAAGACATAACTCGTTTGCTACATTCTGAAAGTAGTGTGAACGTTGTACCAAAATCATTTTTTGACAAATGTTTGCTTTGTATTTCTGATTTTCAATTTACAACCACTATAGTGTTACACTCGCTAACAACAGTATGTGTTGTCAATATATATAGTTGGTACAGCTAGCTACAGTCAAATTAGGTCACAAAACTTGTGTTATGAAACACTACAATGTTTTCAAAACAATGTATTTTTCCAGATGTGAAGAAAAGTGTCAAAAGTCAGATGTGTATCTTCTGTTAAAGTTAAGCCGAACTCAGAATGTATTGTTATTGGTAAATTTCCACATATAGTAACCAATGGAACACAAGGGGGCGAACACGGCTCATTTTGATGTTTTGAACAAAGGTGCATTAGTAGCCAAATCCCTTGTTACATGTGATGTTGATCGTTTGATTCCTGTAAAAATTCTCAATCCAGGAATAGTATTATTTTGTCATCGGGTCAATTATGTGATAATTTTACAGAGATAATTCCATTATCATGCTCCATTATGTTTAATTATCTAATGATGTTGATATTAATGCTCAGAATGATCATGAAATGTATGAAAATTTTGAAACATTTATGTCCAATTTTGAGTTTGAAAATCAGTCAAACTTGACAATTAAGTGAACAAAAACTTGAACTCCAAACTAGTTTGTATCAGTACAAAGATGTTTTTGTCACTAAGGAAAGTCCTAATCTAGGGTTTACAGAACTTGTAAAGCACAGGATTCATTTGAAACCAGATTTTGTGCCCAAACAACCTGAACCTTATCGGTTACCTTAAGTGATAAGAAAGTTGTCCTTATATATACACACCAGCTTGATGAGCTATTACGTCGAGGTATTATTAAACCAGTCTCTGAGACTGAGGACGTCCCTATTTCCAGTCCTATAAAGGATAGTGTTGGTTGTCAAGCGCAACAAACCTAGAATCAAAGCAGGTGAGGAGATCACTAAGGAGCAGTAGAGTCTATCTTCATACAGATTCTGTTGCGATTTTCAGGTATACTTCAAGTATATGACAGAATCTTTTGCCAACCGCGTACACCAAATTTCATCTCCTCACTTGATTTCAGTTCAGGATTCTTTCAGATGGCCATAGATGAACAATCTACAAAATAAACAGCGTTCGACACCTGCTTTGGAACTCTCAATTTTTGAGGTGACAAGTGTTTTGGACTGTTCTCCATATATTAGGGGAAAACACTTTCTCAACGAGGGCGACCACCAAACTTTGAGAGCTCTATTCCATAAACAACTACCCTGTGCCATATATATGAAAGGTGGATCGCCATCTTTCAACAGTTTTCCTTTGATATCTACTACAAAACAGCATCTTTACACATTTTAACCTTTTGTTTCTTGTTTTTATGAATTCAGATTTTTGTGAATGTCTATTTTTACACTGTTGTTTGGCCCTAAATGACTCCAATTGTTGATGGTCCGTAAAACAATACAAAACAAAACAAACAAACTACAAACTAGCTACAGAAATAGCTGTCCCTGATGCACTGTCTCCTCATGATCAGGACCAATTCTAAGAAATGTTGCACTCAAGTCATGAGGAGGATGACCCACATTTCAAATAAGTACCAGAAAAAGCATATGTACGTGGTTCGATTTCTGTCTACAGAGATCAAGGTGCTAGAGACAGCTAGTTCATACTACATTCGTGTTAGTCTCTAAAAAGAAAACATCAATTACATATAAATTATACATGTGTAACAGAAAAGAGTGGTCGTGTGATGCAGTGGATAGCGCACTTGCCTTTCACCAAGGCGGCCAGGGTTTGATTTCCCGATCGGATGTGAAAAGGTACGGGGTCACCTGCCTGACCACGTGGGTTTTCTCCAGGTACTCCGGTTTCCTCCAACACAAAGACCCACCCCCGCCTTAACATCTGGGCCAACAAGAGTGATTAATATAAGTTAAATAACTTGTTTCATAATTGTTGTAAAATAAATAAAATTTTGTTTTTGTAGAGGTTGATGCATGGTTGAAAAGGAGTGGAATTCAATTACCAAATTATGTACTTGAGATCAGTCCTTGTATACCCTGTGACATTCCAACGTCATGGGAAAAGGTAGACCTACAGGTAAAGACAACAAACATGTACATTGCTTCTGAATTTTTGTACAGATTTCACATGTGTATTGTTTGAGAATTGCCACCTTCCTTAAGGTAGAGAGTCCCAACACACTTTATTATAACTCTCTAACAAACAAAAATCATTTTTTTCTTCAATTTTCTGACTAGCAGTTTGCTTGTTGCTTATTTGCTTAAAGAGTTACATATGGAAGTTTGTATTCATTTTAAAATGTACACTGTTTGTATTTAGTAGCATCATCTTAAGTATCTAAAGCAATTAAAGATGCCAATAAACAATTAAAAATATTAATGTTCAGAATCTTGTGATTGCCTCCCTGATTTTGCTTAAGTTTTATAATTCTTACAAAGTAATGTATACAGTGAGTAAACAGCAGGTATGCATTGCCTATTTTCTGTAAGTAAAGTTTTTTGGTTCTCTGTCTATCCCATAATGCAATATTGTCATTCGGAAGTTGTCCTGTAAAAGATATGCATTGATTAGGTTGCCTTACAAGCGTCAGCTGTAGGGAATTCCTCTTTATCTCAGCGGTAGAGCATATATTAAAGACTGGAGAGCCAAGGATCACGGGTTCGAGCCCCAGCAAGGGCACTATCTTTATCACTATTCCTCGTCCTATATTACAGTTCAATAAGCTACCTTAAAGTACAAAATTGATAATAAGTTTTCCGCAATGTTATTGATTTATATACAACTAAACACGCACGAACAGTTTAACCTGTTTATTACTACAGTTATAATACATACAAGCTACAAGTTTGGCGTATCAGGGGCTACTCACTCTATACCAAAACGACTAAACTTACTAATAGGATATTTAAAATTTTAAGAATCTGGACTCCGAGGTGTCCCAGAGTAGCTAGCTACATGATCGAGCAAGACTCCAAAGATACAGAGAAGCAACTAGACCCTGGACAATTCCAGAGAAGCTACTAGACTCTGCGAGCGACCCTGGAGAAGCTGCATGAGAAATGGAATATTCAACGACTACGGCTAGACCCTCAACGATATGAGAGAAGCTGAAACATACTGTCGTAAAATACTACATGTATAATATTATTATAAGATTAAGGGTTGAATTCCCCAAGAATTAAATGCCAAAATTAAACTATATGTTTTAAAATTAAGAGTGAGTAGCCCAAACAATAAAAACAAAATCAGGAGACCAACCGGGCTGACATTTATATGACAGCTTAATTAAGTGTATAGCAAAACCAAAGCACAAAAATAATGTTATAGCATACGTATATGGTATTACAATCATATATAAGTACAGATTATATATATATATTACATGAATAAACAGTACAATTAGAGGTGCTGAAGGGGATGGCGGGTGGGAATGCACAACAATCTCCTTCAATGATTCAGAAAACTATGCTATGGGGGCTCCAAATCCCTAACAGGGCATTCCCTCAGGCAGACGCTAATTGGTCAATCAGCAACTACATAAATACACACAACCTACATTACAGAAAACATGGGCAGCAAGGCAAACTCATTGTATATAAACTATAGTTTAATATTAAAATATCAAACTATCATTTAACCACCCATCATTATTATTAATATTAACTGTAGATATTTGGTAGACTTTTACTATTTTTAATGTACAAAAATGTTTTTTTTTATCTTTCAGTCTTTGGGCCCTCTGGTTGTTTCTGGTGATACAACACAGCAAAAAGGAAATGTTGGACAACAACAATATTATCCATATCCTGGATACCAAGGTTATCCTGGTTACCAACCTCAGCCTGGTTATCGGAACATTCAGTATCCAGGCTTATATGGTCTATATCCGGGACATCCAGGGAATGTACCTCAGACGTATAATCAGGGATATCCTCCGCAGTATGGTGGACAACAAGGGCCAATCCCTATGGGAGCTAGACCAGATCTTACAGGAACAGAAAATCCGTTTTATTTCAAGGTCTCACCACCACCAGGATACCCAGGGGTGCTTTTTCCTCAAGAGCAGGCTAAAGGTCAAGAAGGAAAATCACAAGGGATAGGTGGTCAATATCCCGGCCAGTATGCTCCGAGATTTCCAGGACCATACACCCAGGGCCAACCACCACCCTATAGTGCTTATCCCAGAATGCATCCAGGTCCTAGTGTTTCTCCGAGGATGGCTCATCCTTATCAATATCCATATCAACCTTCACCAGAATATGCACCGGATGCATTTGGTAAATTTGAGAATGGTATGACTTAAATCATTACACCAAGCTAGATCTCTCCATCAAACTTATCTATACCAATCTCATATCTTTCAACGAGAAATGTTACAAGATGTATGTATTAAGTATTTCGTCGTTCGTGTTCAAATGTTTCCATTTAAAAGTCATTATGATACATGTTTTGACCGTATACATTGCTAACTTTACTAATGTGAAGAATAACAATGGATATATTTATCATTATATTTCCTGATCAGGATGTCCCCGCTCAAGACCGTTTATGTTACAAGATGAATGTATTAAGTATTTCGTCGTTCGTGTTCAAATGTTTCCATTTAAAAGTCATTATGATACATGTTTTGACCGTATACATTGCTAACTTACTAAAATAATAAAGTAAATGAGTTGATAGTTTTGATGTTAATTAGCACTCAAAAAAGCTCTAGTTTGTGAATTTCTGGAAGATAATTAACCATTTATTTCTAAATCACCTGTAGAAGCAGTTGCTGCTGAAGCTGAGAGAGAGGAAGAAGAAGAGGAAGAGGAGGAGGAGGAAGAGGAAGAAACTGAACAGCTAGGGATAATCAAGGTTACAGAGATATCGCCCAAGACCACAGAGGACACTCTGACCTACTTTTTTGAGAACAGAAAAAAAACCGGAGGAGGGGAAATCAAGGAAATGGACTTCCGGAAAGAGTCCGCTACAGCTATTATAACATTCCAAGACCCTGCAGGTATGACAATTGAATTTACAGTATATAGCTGATAACAAATTGAAAGATATTGATTTATTAGCTCACCGGGTCCGAAGGACCAAGGTGAGCTTATGCCATACCGTGGCGTCCGTCCGTCCGTCAACAATTTCTTTAAACGACTTCTCCTTTACCACTGATTGGAATTTAACTAAATTTTACTGGAAGCATTCCTAGGTGGTTGGGATTCAAAATTGTACAAATGGTGGGGCTGACCCCCCAGGGGGCTGAGGGGTGGAGCAAAAAGTGGGCAATTTGGCTATATTGCTTTAAGCGACATCTCCTCTGGAACTAAGAGATGGATATCAACCATATTTGACTGGAAGCAGCCCTAGGTGATGTGGATTCACAATTGTACAAATGGTTGGGCTGACCCCCCAGGGGGCTGAGGGGCAGGGCCAAAAGGGGGCATTTTGGCTATATTTGCTACAAAGGACTTCTTCTGTAGAACTATGCACTGGATATCAATCATATTTAATCAGAAGCATTCATGGGAGGCAGGGATTTAAAATTGTACAAATGGTGTGGCTGACCCCGTGGTGGCTGAGGGGCGGGGCCAAAAAGGGTTATTTAGCTATATTACTTTAAGTGACTTCTTCTCTGGAACTAAGAGATAGATATCAACCATATTTCACTGGAAGAATCCCTAGGTGGTGGGGATTCAAAATTGTACAAATGGTGGGGCTGACCCCCCAGGGGGCTGAGGGCTGTGCCAAAAGGGGTCAATTTGGCTATACTGCTATAAACGACTTCTTCTGTAGAACTATACCATGGATATTGATCATATTTGGTCGGAAGCATTCATGGGAGGCAGAGATTCAAAATTGTACAAATGGTGGGGCTGACTCCCCGAGCTAAGGGCCCGGGGTGGGGCCAAAAAAAATTATTACTTGGAAATGGTTGAGATCCCCACCATATAACCATATTTACAATTGCTGAGTATAAAGAGAGGAATGTACATTTGCCTCCAGGATGGCCCTAGCATCTGTCTCCACCCTTGGAGACTTATCCCCTGGGTCATAACTTTGAAACGATTAAGATCCTCACCCCAAAACTATATATACAATTGTTGGGCATAAAGAGACGAATGTAGTCATGATATTAGAATTGACCCCAGGGTCTGCCCCACCCTTGCAGACATAACCCCTGGGTCATAACTTTGAAACGGTTGAGATCCCCAACCCAAAACTATATATACAAATGCTGGGCAAAAAGAGACAAATGCAGTCATGATATTAGAATTGATCCTGGGGTCTGGCCACAATCCTAGGGACCTAGTTTCTGAGTCACAGCTTGGAAACAGTTGAGATCCCCACCCCATAACCATACATAAAATTGCTGGGCATAAAAAATCAAATACAGATATGCTACAAGGATTGGCCTTGGGGTCTGGCATATTCCCTTGGATCTCATTTGGAGAATATTTTGCCATAATTTCTTAGATATCCAGGTGAGCGATACAGGCCCTCTGGGCCTCTTGTTAGAATTGTCTCCACTTATTTGCTCTTTCAAACTTTTAAACAATCTTTTGATATAGCATTCAATCATTATTTCCTTAAAAAAAGTTAAATTAACTCTGTGAGGTAAGTCCTTAGAATATGCTTGAATCTATAGATCTAAAAAGTGATAATTTTTGTACATTTTGATGGGCTTTACACAAAGCATTGCTGGTAAATTGGAGTTATGTATATATGTAAGTGATGGGCTGATGATCAATGATAATAAAAAAATGATCCATTTGCCCTTTCCAATTTCGATTATTGATTACAAATTCCGAATTTGATATAATTGGTTCATAATCAAAATAAAAATGTTAAATGTAAAATATACATCGAAAGTCATAACTGGATACATATTGCTTGAAATTAATCCGTTATTGAAGAACGAAACCTGATGTATAGTTAACAACTCTGTCTATTAATTGATGTAATAGTAGTACTATGTTCTCATTTTATTTGGGTATTCTGTCCCATGAAATTATAAACTGATTATGCAATCCATCATCGATCGTTTTGCTACTTCTGATTACATACCAATTATTGATTATTATTTTTAACCCTTTCACCCCTATGTAACTTTAGTAGACTCTACCATGCATTATAATCTGGATGAGTCCATTATGGTCTACAGTGGTGAAAGGGTTAAACCCAATGCCCATCACTAGTACATGTGTACTGATGTAATAATCACCGGTAAACTGGTAGAGAACATGTCTGTCTGATGATGTTAGCAATGCCAGTAATTAATTCAAGAGTACAGTAAAACATGTTTAGTACAAGCACGCTTATTGCGATTTCATGAATATTGCAAACTGATTCTGATCCCCGGTCAGCTCAACTCCTCTTACTTTTATGTAATCATATGATCATATCGTGAGTTTCGCATACTTTGAGAATTATCATCTGTTACAAAGCAAATCAGCGCTCTCCTTAGGTGAAGGTCATTGTTATTTTCAACACAGGAGTACAAAACCCAATTTTCGAAGTCAGAAATCACACACCAGTGACATCGAGGGACAGACGACCATGATCAAAGAGAGGCGCTCTAGGGGCAATTGCCAGCTACCTGCTTTTATACGTTTTGTATGACTGCTGAACACAGCGAGTAGTGTTCTCGATGACATTTTATATGTGTTGGGTTGTTTATCAAAACTAATTTTTAATGCTTCGTACATGATATCTATAGACTAACTGATCATGCTACAGTGAAGTAAGTTTATCGATGACAATCTCACTGTAAGGTGTTGAGTTGAGACCGAGGCTGCTGAGGTCAAGGTCACAATCTTGGATTTCATCGATATTGACTGTGATGTTATGAATACGACAGATATGTCGGATATTGAGGTTGTGAAAGACGTACTCAATATTTCTGACAGTGAGGAGGAGGAGGAGTTAGTGGAGGTTGAGGGATAGGATGTGGATTCGGTCATTATTGTTTCCAGGGCGAGTGCCAATATTAACGAAATGCCGTTTTCTCCAGGCTCAATTTGAGAATACGAATGCAGCCTCTTGAGAATTTATTAAATCAAGCTGTGAACATCTCAAGCATTATACATATGTTAATATAAATTTAAAGATTTCTGGTGATTTATGTTTACATTGTTTATACATATTTTCATATAATTAGGACTACCTGCATAAGTGACTGATAAAGTAGGTTTCTTGGGGTTCGTTAATATAACCATGTTTTACTGTAATCGTATTGGATGTAATCATTCTCGGTAAACTACTTTAACTAGCTAGGCTACAGCGGTAGATTTATCAGATATGTGAATGCAATAATATATCAACAACAATTCTTTAAAACAATCTTTTCACATTTGATTTCGCTTAACACTAGTAACCCTTTCACCCCTATGTAACTTTAGTAGACTCTAACATGCATTGATCTGGATGAGTCCATTATGGTCTACAGCGGTACAAGGGTTAAACAAGGGTACATGTATAGTGCTGTGGTTATTATAAGTAAACTTATGAGGAACCATCTGTACATTTTTCTTGATTTGAGCATTACCAGTAAACTATAGGGGACCAGTGTTGTGATAGGATATATATTGTTTTGTTTCAGTGGTTGAACGTGTCCTACAGAAGCTACCATTACTGTTAGAGAAAAAACAGATCAAAGTGGAGCGATTTGTCCCGGAGAGCTACAATTCTGGAGCTATGGGTAAAGACTGTAAACTAGGCTACAGAGGTAGATGTATGATATCATTTGTCAGCATTACCAGTAAACTACTAGCTATATCTATATAGGGAACCAGTTATTCTTGAATTTCATCAGATATACTTGTGCATGCAATAATATATCAATTTACTACTTCTGATTTACAAACCAATTATTGATTATGATTTTAAACTGATTGCCCATCACTAGTATTGTGATCGGATATCTATTGTTATGTTTCAGCGGTTGAACGTATCTTTCAGAAGCTACCATTACTGTTGGAAAAAAGCAAATCAAAGTGGAGCAATACTATAAAGACCTCACATCCAGTTTCAATGCAAAGCGTATCTTTTAACTCGCTTGATCTGGTCGAGCTTATGCTATTTCATGGCATCTGTGTCTGTATCTCTGCAAACAAACTTTTCGAACACTTTGTCTTGGCAATGCTGTTGGTACCTCAAGCTCAATTGCCTTGGCAATGCTGTTGAAACTGCAAACTTGATTGCCTTGGAAATGCTGTTGGTACCTCAAACTCAATTGCCTTAGCAATGCTGTTGGTATCACAAGCTCAATTGCCTTTAATGCTATTGATACCTTAAGCTTGAGCGCCTTGGCAATGCTGTTGGTAAGGCTAGCTTGATTGCCTTGGTAATGCTGTTGGTAAGGTAAGCTTGATTGCCTTGGCAACACTGCTGATACCTCAAGATTGATTGCCTTGGCAAGGCTGTTAGTGCATCAAGCTTGATTGTCTTAGCAATGCTGTTAGTTCCTCTAGCTTGATTACTTTAGCAATGCTGTTAAATGGTACCTCAAGCTCAATTGCCTTTGCAATGCTGTTGGTAAGACAAGCTTGATTGCCTTGGCAATGCTGTTCGGATGGCAAACTTGATTGCCTTAGCAATGCTGTTTGTTCCTCAAGCTTGATTTGCCTTGGTAATGCTGTTGGTACCTCGAGTTCAATCACCTTGGCAATTCTGTTGGTACCACAATCTTGATTGCCTTGGCAATGCTGTTGGTACAGTTAGCTTGATTGCCTTGGCTTTGCTGTTTGTACCTCAAGTTCAATTGCCTTCACAAAGCTGTTAGTATGGCAACTTGATGCCTTGGCAATGCTGTTCAGATGGCCAGCTTGATTGCCTTAGCAATGCTGTTTGGTCCTCAAGCTTGATTTGCCTTGGTAATGCTGTTGGTACCTCAAGTTCAATCACCTTTGCAATTCTGTTGGTACCACAATCTTGATTGCCTTGGCAATGCTGTTGGTAGAGTTAGCTTGATTGTCTTGGCTTTGCTGTTTATACCTAAAGCTCAATTGCCTTCACAATGCTGTTAGCACTGCAACCTCAATTGTTTTTGCAATGCTGTTAATACTTCTAGCTCGATTGCTTTAGCACTTTTGTTGGTACCTGAAGCTCAATTGCCTTTGCAATGCTGTTGTTACCTTAAGCTTGAATGCCTTGGCAATGCTGTTGGTACATCTAGCTCAAATGCCTTGGCAATGCTGTTGGTACCTCAATTTTGATTGCCTTGGCAATGCTCTTTGTACGGTAACTTGATTGCCTTGGCAATGCTGTTGTCACGGCCTTGATAGTGTGTACCTACAATGTTATTGAGAGTAAATAGTCCCTTCGATGTAATTTAGAGTTAATACTGTTTAACTATATCCTTTTCATTATAATCTTTAAATCTTACTAGAATGAGGAATATGATGTATAAACAGATTGTTCTCACGTTAAGATTTAAGCTGACAGAGGCTATATATTGAGGCTGTCATATCAAAGGACCCGCCGACATTATATAATGTACTCGCTTGGAAAACGAGTATGGGTCTCGCTTGGTAAAAAAAGAGTGTTTTACATTAAAATGGTTATCATTTGTTCAACATGTGCAGAAGGTGACACTACTATACTGTAAAAGTACTTTCACGACTTTGAACCAACATTTTTTAATCAGAACAGTTGAATAAAATGGAAATGGAACACATCAAAGATATAATTTATCTAAGAAAAGTGAAAATTATAGTAAAATAGGAACAATTAAAATATCTAATGCACATTCTCTGCCCCTCCTCCCCCCAAAAAAACAACAAAACAAACGGCTCTGAAATAAATAATATTTTGATAATGGTTGCCCATTAGGGTGCACAGTGAATTGAATCACAAAATGGTCAGTTGTAAAATATATATGATAATTGGTTTGACAGGTAATGCTTTTTTAGACCAAGCAAGAACCATACTGGTTACCAAGCAAAGACGATCTAAAATGTCGGTGCTTCTTTAGAAACGATAGCCAGAAGAGATTGTCACTGGGGAAAATCTCAAAACCAGAAAATGGTTCCTTTTTTAAAATATCAGTTGAAAGCTTTTCACCTTGAATTATCAGCTTTAACAAATTTTTATCCCACCATCTTCAGATGTTTGGATGGCAAGCTCGATTGCCTTGACAATGCTGTAAGCACGGCAAGCTCAATTGCCTTGGAAATGCTGTTGGTACTTCTAAGACGGCTCCATTGCTTTAGCAATATTGTTGGTACCTCAAGGTCAATTGCCTTGGCAATGCTGTTAGGATAGCAAGCTTGACTGTCATGGCAATGCTGTTGGTTGCTCTAGCTTACCAAGCTCAATTGCCTTGGCAACACTGATGATACACCTCCAGCTCAATTGCATTGGCAATTCTGTTGGTACCTCAAGCTTGATTGCCTTGGCAACACTGCTGATACCTCAAGCTCGATTTCATTTGCGAAGCTGTTTGTACCTCAAGCTTGATTGGCTTGGAAATGTTGTTGGTATTAGGTAAGCTTGATTGCCTTGGCAAAGCTGTTGGTACCTCAAACTCGATTGCCTTGGCAATGCTGTTGGTACATCAAACTTGATTGCCTTTTCAATGCTGTCGGGATGGCAAGCTTGATTGCCTCTTGGCAATACTGTTAGGATGGTAAGCTTGATTGCCTTGGCAATGCTGTTGGTACCTCAAGCTCGATTGCCTTGGCAATGTTATTATACCCCCGCAACGAAGTTGGGGAGGGGGGATTTCCTTGAAACTTTGCATAAATGATCAGTATCTTATGTAGTTGTGCACCGGCATTTTATTTTGGGATTTCAATCTTTTTTGATGGAGTTATGCCCCTTTGTGCAAAATACTTGTTTTATTTAGATTAGCTAAAGGATGGGCCCCAAATTTAAACCTCTTGGTTATACAGTGGAGAGCTTATCAGGCTGATCCCTAGAATTTGAGGAGATATCTGCATTACATCTTTCAGCAAAACTCGTTCATATGGGCTAACAAGTTTGGGTTTGCAAGTATGTTTTGGCATGAAGAGGGAGTAAAGGAAGTATGTGAGTGACCTATATACTTAAATAAGTGTACAGCTCAGCAAATAAAGAACTCATTACTGCTTTGCATTATAGTTCTGGTTTATATAGGAGTGGGGGCATTAATTAGCATTTGGCTTACAGTTCTAGTTGGAATGGCAAGCTTGATTGCCTTGGCAATGCTGTTGGTACCTCAAGTTAAATTGCCTAAGCAATGCTGTTGGTACCTCAAGTTAAATTGCCTCGGAAATGCTATTGATACCTCCAGCTCAAATGCCTTGGCAATTTTGTACGTACCTCAAGCTCGATTGCCTTGGCAATGCTGTTGGTATCACAACTCGATTGCCTTTGTAAGGCTGTTGGTATGTTAAGCTTGACTGACTTGGCAATGCTTTTTGTACCTTAAGCTTGATTCCCTTCACAATGCTGGTGGGAAGGTAAGCTTGATTGCCTAGGCAATGCTGTTGATACATCAAGCTTGATTGCCTTGGCAATTCAGTTAGCACGGCAAGCTCAATTGCTTTGATTGCTTGATTGCTTTAGTAATATTGATGGTGCCTCAAACTTCATAGCCTTGTCAATGCTGTTGGGATGACAAGCTTGATTGCCTTGGCAATGTAGGATGGCAAGCTTGATTGCATTGGCAATGCTGTTGGTACCTCAAGCTCGATTGCCTTTGAAATGCTGTTTGTACCTCAAGCTTGATTGCCTTGGAAATGCTGCTTGTACCTCAAGCTTGATTGCCTTGGAAATGCTGTTGGTATTGGGTAAGCTTGATTGCCTTGGCAAAGCTGTTGGTACCTCAAGCTTGATTGCCTTGGCAAAGCTGTTGGTACCTCAAGCTTGATTGTCTTGGCAAAGCTGTTGGTATCTCAAGCTTGATTGTCTTGGCAAAGCTGTTGGTAGCTCAAGCTTATTTGTCTTGGCAAAGCTGTTGGTACTTAAAGCGTGATTGCCTTGGCAAAGCTGTTGGTACCTCAAGCTTGTTTGTCTTGGCAAAGCTGTTGGTTCCTCTAGCTAAATGACTTTGCAATGCTAGTTCTAGAGACCATTGTTGATGTGAAGAATGAATCCTCTTCTCTTCTGTCATCAGACCGTTGGGCCAGCAAGGAGGGGTCCATCAAAGATTCATGCAATGTAATGGTTTAAATGAAAGTTCAGATGAGCCAACCTTGTTAGCTCACCTTACCAGAAGGGCCATGTGAGCTTATGCCGTACTGCAGCGTAAAACATCAAGTGACTTCTTTTGAAAAATTGAAAGGCATAAAACTATAATATTTGGCTAGTAGCTTCTTGGGTTATGATACTTGGGTATGTTATGTAGACCAGCAGTGCAAATGTTTGTTTTTAGCTCACCTGCCCAAAGTGCAAGTGAGCTTGTGTCATGGTGCGGGGTCCGTTGCTGTCCGTCCGTCCGCCGACCGTCCGTCGTCCGTCAACTTTTCCTTTAAACACGTTCTCCTAAAGAACAGACAGGCGTAGAGCCATGTTATTTGACTGAAAGCTTCCTCGGTAGGAGCCAAACAAAGTTTGCGAATTTAAATGACCTTGACCTACTTTCAAGGTCACAGGGGTCAAATATGCCAAACTCTTTAAACAACTTCTTCTGTAGAACTAAAAGTTATAGAACCTTCATATTTGGCTGGTGGCTTCCTGGGATAGAGCCCGACAAAGTTTGAGAATGAAAATTACCTTGATGTACTTTCAAGGTCACAGTGGTCAAATATGTCAAACATTGTAAACAACTTTTACTGACAAACTTAAAGGTGTAGAACCTTCATATTTGCCTTGTGGCTTACTGAGATAAAGCCAGGCAAAGTTTGAGAATGAAAATGACCTTGATCTGCTTTCAAGGTCACAAGGGTCGAATGTGTCAAACACTTCAAACAACTTCTTTTGACGTACTAAAAGGTGTAGAACCTTCATATTTGCCTTGTGGCTTACTGAGATATAGCCCAACAAAGTTTGAGAGTGAAAATGACTTTGACCTTCTTCAAGGTCACAGGTGTCAAATATGGCAAAAACATCCAGTACTTCTGAAAAATTGAAAGCCATAACATTATAATATTTGGCTAGTGGCTTCTCGGGATAGAGCTCACCAAAGTTTGCAAATTAAAATGACCTCAACCTATTTTAAATGTCACAGAGGTCAACAACATTTCAAAGGATTTCTGAAGAACCAAAAGGAATGGATTCATAAGATTTGGCTGGTAGCTTCTTGGGATAGAGCTATAAAAGCTTGAGAAGGAAAATGTATTGACATACTTAAAATATGTCCAACAACTTTAGAAGAAGAACGATAGCCAAAATAAATAAAATCTTATTTAATGAGAATAATTGCTATGACTGCTTAAATATTCAGGTGAGCAAAACAGCCCCTCATTAAAAAAAAGGGGTTGTCATTAAAATGACCTTGACCTACTTCCAAGGTCACAGGGGTCGAATATGTGAAAAACTTCAAACAACAATATCCTTAAAACCATTTGAACTAAAGTCATGATACTACGGTATGTTATGAAGAGCAGCAGTAAAAATCTTTTTCTGTATTGAGGTAATGAGGTCAAAGGTCAACTTTAAGTGCTATTGGAGGGGCAAATGTTAACATGGGTTAAAAGCTTTAACAATCTTCTTCTTAAGTTTCATAAGGCCCAGGGTCATAATATTTGGCCAGTAGGTACCTGGGATGGAGTGCTATAAAGTTTCCTAATTGAAATGACCTTGACCTACTTTCAGGGTCACAGGGGTCGAATATGTTTAAAACTTCACACAACAATATACTAAGAAACATGACACTTATGCATGTGATATAGACCAACTATGAATCGTTTTGTTTATTACAGTAATGAGGTCAAATGTCAACTTTAAGTACTAGCTTCTTAAGAAGTGTTTAAGAGTTGTTTAAATGTCTTGTGTTCTAGTTACCAAATTTGGTCTGAAATTACCTATATGTCAGTTCCATGTAACAAAAGAAACAGGTGAGCAATACAGGCCCTCTGGGCCTCTTGTATCCTCACACGTTGAGCTGTCGAAAGTTGATTTGTCTGTACATTTTTTTGTTCGTCTCAAACAGCATCACCACTCTACAGACTTCAATTCTTATCTGATTGTCATGAAACTTCACACACATGTTCTCAAATATCAACTCTGACTTGTACAATTTCCCATTACAAACTTCTGCAGCAAAAATAGTCACTGTTACTATAGAGTTAGAATTTTGGACTTCATCGTTCTACAGACTCTTCCAATTGGCCAAGAAATTAAACACTTCTGTGTAAAAACATCGTCTCTTGAACTAATTCGCGTTTCAACCTTGTCTTGCCAAAAACAAGGTCACTGTTGCTACAAATAGAATTTAAAAGAAATTGCTTTACAAACTTCATTTCTTTTCTGGTTATCACAATTCTTAACATACGGTCACAAACATCACCTTTTCTGCGAGTTTGTGTTTTGACCTTCTGCGATCAGAAATTTTGTGTTTTACGACTTTGAAGTGTAATAAATAAATAAAAATTAAGAGTACAACATAAAATTTGAAAAATTGTGTCCTTGCTTGATTGTGTCAACATGAAATAATACATTTGTTACGGTGAAATCTGATGCTGTAGAGCGAGAAAAGAAGGTGCAAGAGGAGATGGAGCAACGTGAATATAAGACTAGAATTGCCAAACTTGAGGAATATAAAATCAGACGAAAGGCCAGGGAGCAAGAAATTGAGGAAATATTGATGAGGAGGTGTGAGGAAAAAAGGTCTGGTCAGAGGTAAGTGGGTAGAAGAAAAATTACATGCAGCAGGGAAAATCTGGGAACTTAATAGCAGTGGGCCATTTCAGCAAATTTTAGTCAATATCAAAATCTAGTTATGTCTCTCAAACGAAGTGGGGGGACATATTGTGTTTACTCCGTTTCTTCTTCTTATAATTAACAAGTAGGTAAGAGATGGAGCATCAACACCAGGGATTCCGTGAATCAGGAGGTTTTATTTGTTGACATGTTTCAGTAGGCCTACTGTCATCAGAACAATTCCACAGTGGCATTGTAGACCTAAGGTGCAAATAACGATTCACAATATGATGACATCATGGTATTGTTACTTAGATCACGTGATATAAACAAAGTTTTGGAGGGAAATTGTGACTGCAAATTGGTGACGTTATCGTAAACAATAAAAACAATGGTAAATAGCCAGTTTGTTCTTCAATGACAATGCAATACAATGTTTACCCAAAGGACAATAGATATTTCTAATCAGATACACATGAACCATGTATCAATTAAGTCAATTAAAGTGTTCTTATATTTTTACTTCCTCGTAGGCATGTTAAGTCATTGTTCTTTAATTCCATGTGGGGATGGCCATACAGTGTATTGTGCAGGCCGGTAGGCTGGGGATGGTAAAATATAAATACTTGGACAGGAATGTTTGGTAAAAAAAACTGACCAATCGCCAGGCTGATACCTGTCCTTCTAAGATTACAAAGGAGAAATGCCCAACTTCAAAGCCTGTCAATTTTTACCGTTAGGTGATCGCGAGATTCTTTTGAGGTACATAAAAGGATCAAACTAGTCTTGTCTCATCAACAAGGTGTCGCACACTGAGCCTTCAATTTTGCTCTGACCTATTCCAGGGGTGTTGAGAGCGAAAGTGAGCGTAACCCCTGGATATTGAGGATGGGTAAGGGAGTGTGCAAATGACCTTTTATTTTCCGATCGGTCAACCAAGATGGCCGCCACGGTCGAAATTTAATATTACTCGATT